GCACAGTATGGGTAGGTCTGCTTGGTGCGAGCAGAGAAGGTGCTGCTGGCAGCAGCCACAGCTGCCACAGCCTGGACTGAGGACGAAGATTCCTGGGAGGGGCGCTCAAGCACTGGCTCCTTGCGCCCTGGGCTCTTCTCCTTAGGAGACTCTCCTTTGCGGGAGTTGGCCTTCAGCTCTGCCACTAGCACATCAAAGTCCTTGGCTCGGCCCTGGACCTCCCGGCGCTGGTGTACCGAGTGGATCTAGAATACAGCAGGGTGGAGGGTGGGGAAGGGGTTTGAGCTGAGAGGTGAGGGGTAGCTGGGTGCTCTGGCCTGGGCAAGCTGAGGGGGGTGTGAGTGTGTTTGGGATATATTTGTGTGTCTTTGTTTTACTCCCCCATGGAGCCAAAATCCTGTTTTAGGGTGGGAGAACCTGGAAGCTACTCCCTGCCTGCTGCTCCCATCTGCAACACCGGGGTGGCCTCCTCTTCCCTTCCCAGCCTCATCCCTGGATAACATCTAAATTCCTTTCCTAGCCCAGGTCCTGTGTCTGTGTTAGGCTCCCTCTCCATGCAATAGAAATCGGGGTTACCTTGCAGGTCAACAGGCGGGTACAGATCTTTTTGGTCTCTGGATTTATGACCCCACACTGCCTATTGAGGTCGCACTCCTTCCCTGTGGGCAAAGTGGTTCCAGTGAGCATAAAGGCCATTTCTTAGAAACCCATGGGAGAACCTGGCCTTTTCCTCCAGGGGCCTGGGAAGAACTGGCTCTAAGGTGGAAGAGCCTCCAGCCCTCAGGTCTGAGGCTCCCCTTGCAGGAAACTCTTCAGGGTATCCAGATCTCTGCAGGGTGTGTGACCTGTCCCTGTCCCCAGCCCTAGCCCAGGCATTTCAAGCTAACAGCAGGGCAGCACATATCAAGAAGCAAAAGCAGCCACAGGAATCTAGATGTAAGAAAGGAGGTAACAGTCAACTGCCAAAGGGGAGGAGAGTAACTTCACCTGCTTGGACATAGACAAGTGTCCTAGATTAGGAGACCTGGGCTAGAGAAGCTTTCCTTGGATCAAGGAGGTCAAGAGGTAACAGGGCTTCTGTACTCTGTAAGCTGTGTTGGTCAGGCCTGGTCCTTCCTGACTTCCAACCCATCTGGCCCAGGGTCAAAGCAGCCCAAAGGAGCCCCACAGGACCGCAACTACTCACGAGCCATCTTGCGGTGAGTTTTGGGGGGCAGTCTGGCCCCACCAGGCTCCTTCTCTGGGGGGCTGCCTTCGGCCCGGTGACTGGAACCCTCACCAGGGATTATCTCGATGCTCTCTCTGCCAGGAGGTTCTTTAGAAGGGAGAGCCATAGGGGCTTTTCCAGGGGAGTCCTTAGGGAGGCTGCCTGGCTGGCTGAGGAAAGCAGAGGGTGGGGCCACCCTGATTCCATGTCCATCAGGCTTCGGGAGACTGGACATCTTCTCCAGATTCACCACAGGCACGAAAAGGCTACACGTGGAGAGAGGGTATGGGCTGGGGGGTGGGGAGGCTGGGCCTGGACCCTAGCCCAGAGCCATCTCCTTCCTGGCCCTGAAACTTGGGTGGGCTCCAGGAGGTATGTTTAACATGGGAAAAGGGAAGCCCACATTGCCTGGAACACATGGGAGGGAGCTGCAGATGGGGTTAGCTGCCTCCACTGGTGTCAACCCCTCCCCGGGTCAGGGTTGGTCTTGGGGAGTCTCCGACCTCTTCTTACCAGAGGTTGTCCTTCTGGGTCTTCTCAGGAGGCTGATGGCCGCGGCTCCGGGACCCCTGGCCCTTCTCCCTGGAGGAGGTTTTGGTGGAACCTGGGGCCCTACAAGCTGGGCCCTGCCCATTCACTACATGGCATTTCTGAGAGCTGGCAGGGGCTGGAGGTGGGGGTGGGGCCCGGGTATAAAGCTTGCTGAGGGGCCCATGTCTTCTTTCTGTCACCAGGAGGTGGAGAGAGTAATCAAGGTAAGTGGTATAAACTGCCTCCTTCCCCAGCCTCCTAACCTCCCCGTAGACTCGAATCAGAGAATCTGAGTTTCCATAACTTAGACTGTGAATTTGCCTCCTTCCCTTTTTACTTTGAGCCATCAAAACTCAGTATTTTAGACCCAGCTTCCTGAACTTCTTAACTCCACTGGATACCAGCAGTTTGTTTGAACAATAAACCCTACCCCCCACCCCACAATGCTCTGAATCTACCTCCAGGCCCTTCCTATCCCTAGAACTGCCCTCTACTACCCCATATGACCTCCCAACTGACCCTGTGCCAAGAGTTCCCTGTTCCACCTTCCCCTTAGTTCCCCCCTGGGGCTCCTCTCACCGCAGTGCTTCTGGAAAGCTTGAGGCTTCACCACCTGGCTGCAATGGTTACACACAACCAAATAGAAGTCATCATGGGCAGGGCAGTGCCCGAAGATAGACATGTCTGCAATGACAGAAGCCCTTGTCACTGGGGCTGGGGACTCCATTCCCTGTAAGATCAGAGAGCATTCCCACCCCACCAGTTTGAAGGCACTTCACCTCCCAATTGATGCTCCCAGTTCTAGGTTTCATTCTAATCAATCCCAAAGTATATGGGCGCCAATCACCTATAGCTAGTATCTCCAACAACAGGTCACAGGAGCCAGGGAAATTGGCTGACTCAGATCTAGCATTGAGGATCCCAAACTTGCTGCTTCAAGTGAGTGTGGTGGCAGAGGGGAGGGTGGTCCTGTCTACCCTGAGTTCCAGCCCTAATATGTGTTAAGTCCTACCTTCTTTAATGAGGGTCATAGCATCCAATTTCTTCATGTTTTTGCTACTTTCCTCCAGCTCAGCCCCTGGAGGAAAAACACAGCTCAGAAGTCCACCCCCTTTCCAGATCCTCATCTCCTACCCAAGTGGGGCCTGCAGCCCAGCACTGAGAAGCCCATCTCCCTAAAGAGTTCTTGATACTCAAAATCACTAGGAGAACCTTTCGGTAGATCCTGCTCAAGTTCCCATTTTTCCTTCACCTGCTGTCTCTGAAATAAGCTAAGAAGAATCCAGCCACCTGTATCATGGACCCTTTACTCCAAAGGCATGGATCAGGGTTCCACCGCTGACTAGTTGGATGAATATGGGTAAATATCTCTTTTCTGAGGTTCAATTCTCCACTTAAAATGGAAATGATCCTAATTTTTTCCCTGGAGATCTGAGTCCCTCCATGAGATTTCTCACAGGGGTCCTGTTACTCCGTGACATCCAGATACTCTCCCAGGTAACCACCCCCATAAACTCAAGTTTGCTCCACCTGAGTTAGAATAGCATTGTCAATGTTATACCCAGTTTCTAAGGTCCTGCCCTGATAGAACAGTCACAGACCAGGGAAACTGCTGCCTTTGACCCTTTTGGCATCTTCAAAGTCTCCTTGGTTAGTTACCAAGCCCCTCCCCTTCTTAGAGGGGCTTTTCTCAGGGCTGCCCTTGTACCTCAGTTTCTGGGTTAATGACAAAAACATCTTAGCTGCAAAGCATCTTTTTCCCCATCCCCCTCCCTTTCTCCTCCCCCCTCCCTCTTCTACACCCCCTCCCTGTCCCTTGGAAAAAAAAAATCAATTCTGAGTCACCAAACCCATCTGACTCCATTTCCGGTTCTCAATGCACCCAGACCCTGACAATGGCCCCATCTTTGCCCACCCAGCATGGGCCAGTTCCAGGGTGGCCTGTGGTCCCACTTAGATCTGCTTTCTGTTACCTACTAACAGATTTGCCCCTTTCTTAGATGAGAAGAATGTTGGAAATCTTATATAATGTCTACACATAAGGGGTTGTGAGTTAGACATTCAAGAGACAAGGGGCAGCTCCCACTCTTTTTAATCAGTTAAATCCAAGTGTGGGGAATGATGGACCCAACAGGACTGGGAGTCAGATGTCTCAGTAGAGAACAAGTGTCATTAGAGACCGCTCCATGAGGTTTTCTCCTCCACCCCTTCTCACTTGCAAACTTCTTCAGGGGTGTGATGCCTGCTGTCACCTCCAAAGGCCACGAGGCCAGGTGCTCCCTGGGGCCCAGGAGACAAAGATCAGAAGAAGGGGTTGTAGGCCCACTCACCAAAGGCACTCAAGAGCCTACAGAACGTAGGAAAGAGTCAAGAGGTAGGGCAAGAGATCCAGGAAAGGACAGAGGACTGAAGGCATGGATGGATGGACTGAAAGAGGGAGGGTGTGAGGGAGGATAGATAGAAGGATGGATGGAGGAACTATGCGGAGGGGGCGGGGGTCCAGAAGCATCGCAGCCGTCAGGCAAACGCCAAAAAGGAGCAGGAAATGTGGGGCAAAAGGCAAAAGAACAAGAGCTTGGGGAGGGGGGCACAGAAGTGGGGTGCGTGGGAAACACGTGGAGAGGACTGTTGCGGATGGAGACAGCTGGAGCAGGTGCACGAGGGGCGGGAGCTGGAGGCCAGCAGACAAGAAGAAAGATAAAGGCAAGTAAATGTGGAGGCAGGTGGTGGCACCGGCAGAGACAGAGGTGGGCAGGGTGGGTTGAGAGCGGTGAGCCGGCGCTAGGACCCGGAGGCGCGAAGGTAACAGAGCGGGCGGGCACTAGGACCCGGCGGGTCCTTTGTTTGGGGGGCCGGGGAGCCGGACGGCGGCTCCAGTCGGCGGCTCCCCTCTGCTGGCGGGGGCCCGGAGGGGGGGAGGGGAGATGGTGATGGGGTCCCCGGACTCTAAGGTGGCTGTACTCACCATCAGCCGCAGGCAGGTCGGCCCGCTCCACCCACGAGCTCCAACTCTGTCCCGCGAAGTCATCGAGACTCGGCACCCGCCGCTCCAGAGCGGCCATTGCTGCCGCCGCGCGTTCACGCACCGCCATCACCGCCGCGGACGCGCGCCCGCCCCGGCGCCGCCGCCGCGCGGCCCCCTCCCCCCTGCCCCGCCGCGGGCACGCCTCCCCTCTCCCCCTACCTTTCCAGTTCACTTTCTGCGCAAGCACAACTCAGGTCGCCTGCCCCCTCCTCCTCCTCCTCCTCCACCTCCTCCTCCTCCTCCTTCCCGCATAGCCTTCTGGGAAATGTAGTTCCGGCGCGGGTGCTGTTTCCTACCGAGTTTGCCGCAAGAGCCCTTCCGAAAGGCACGTTTGCAGGCGGAATAGAAAAGACCAAAGCCCCAGGATCCCCTCTCCTAAATCTTGTGCACACATTCTCTGTACCACGAGTCACACTCCCAAGCTCACTACACACACACCCAGCCCCAGACCTCTCTCTGCCAAAGAAGCCCCTCTAAGCAGTGCATCCGCCAGCTGGCTGGCGCCCCTTCCCGGGCTGGCGGCCACGAAGCGACTCCGCTCCCCCGTAGATCGAATAGGGTAGGTGCAGGGAGGTGGGCGCTGTGAATCCGAAGGGCAAGGGGAGGGAGTCTGTAGGATGTGCTGAAGGACACAGGGGTTGGTGTGGGGGAGGGCCTCGGCCCCTGTGTAGTTCCTCCTCTGTGGGAAACCCCCGTTGCCCTAATGCAGGGCAGATGATTGGAGTACCGTTGTCTGGGTTTGGGAGGACCTGGCTGAGCTGATCAAGATCACCTGTCAGGATGACAGAAGGCTATCTCCGAGCCAGAGCCAGCCCCGGAACTAGGGTGGCCCCGAGGCTGCTGGTTTTTGCAGCGTCTTTGCTGATCCGTCTCTCTCCTCCTGAGAACTGCGATCGATACCCTGCACCGCCTCTTCCCAAACCCTGGCTGGACCCTGACTCCATCCATCATTTTGGCTTCTTTTTCTAATGAATATTTTCTCTGCTACAAGGGCTGCTACTGAAGCCTTCGCATAGGAAGATTTCTCATCAGATTTGTCATTTTCCTTGCTAAGGCCTGGAAAGTACCTTAATCATCTACCTCTTTCTTCTCCGCAGCTGTTAACATTTTATTCCCATCCTCACACAAGAGACAAAAGTCTTCCATCTCATTAGAAAAGAAATACTAATCCTCTTTTTTCCTCCTCCACCCTTCACACTTTACCCTATATCCCTTTAGCTAAGAGGAAACCAGGTGTGAGAGCAAATAAGTCAAGGTCTATGAATTCAAAACCTCAGACTTTCATCCAGGGAAGGTTTAAGTACTTCAAAAATAATATTTGAGGGTCTTAACCAGACATCCATGGATGATGCCTAGGGCGCCCAGTAACCTGGTGAAATTGAATGTAAAATCATGCTCAAGTGCATTTTTCTAGGGAATGTTAATGTAGAATGCAACTGTCTGGGGAGTGGGTAGAGGTGCAAGTTTGTTCAGCAAGAACCTTATAGTAAAGAGGAAAGCATATGGCCCTCAACTCATGACAGGAAGCTTGTTTGGGTCACAGATGGTAGGAAAGCAAATGGAAACAGCATTGTGGAAGTCACTATCTCTCCTTTTGAGTTTGCTCCAGATTTGCTAACGAGTCAGTTGCTTTGGACTAATTGGGTGCCACCAGAAGAGGCAGTGTCACCAGACTGGGGCCTGCCAGGAACAACTGCTCATCCAGCAGACTCTATTGCTTGGGGTGCAGAGTGGAGGGGAATGGAATGTTATCTTGGTAGAAATGTTGATATCTGTCCAAGAACTTAAAGCTAGGGAGAGGAAGAGGGGGGAAAAATTCCCAGAAGGGCTCCAGTCTTGGCTCCTTCATGGCAAATGCTTGCAGCACTGTTTATTCAAATGTGTAATAACAAGCACCAGAAAACAACATGCAACATTCTCCCCCCACCCCTGACCTGCAATCCCAGAAGTAGGAGACCTATGACCACAATGTTGAAGGGAACTCATGTTCAGGAAAGATTCAAGGTGGGCGTTCTGGCAGGGCCAGATTCTACCAGGGCAAGTGCCCTGCCTTTTGGCCTCCTGCAGTATCTGGAGAAACCAGACACCTTCTGCTACCTCAGGCCCCAATAGGCAAAGCAGTGATGCCAGCCCTAATTGGAGGGCATATGACTCCTATAAGGACAACCCTGTCCTTGGCACTTGGCCCAGGCAGCCCTCTGGAGGTAATGAAGTGAACTGGCCTTTTAGGGAGGCCATGGAGAGAGAGAGAGAGGCCATAGTCTCTTCTGGCTAAGAAGAGTCAGCCTCTTTAGGAGAAGGAAGAGTCTTCTCTGCTGCAGGGAGAATTCTGGGATTCCTCTGCAGGAGTGAATACCTACCCCTTTACCCAGCTGAAGGGCATTGCTACCTTCAGTCTCCAAATGAGAGTACTTTATCCATCACATTTCAAATAAATTATAAATACGGACACAATCCAAATAATAGAAGTAGTATAAGCTGCTCACAGACCCCCACAGGGGCCAGCCTGAAGAGAAATGAAGGTCACCCCTTTATTCTCTGTGTCTCTGGCCATGTAGGCAAAACTGTCTCCCCTTGTCCTGGAGTAACTATGGGTACAACTCAGGACAGAGAGTTTCATATTTAGAAACATTCTCATCCCCATCTTCTTTCCTCCTTCCTCAAACCCCTTCCCAACATCTAAAAAACGAAAACAAATTGCTGAAGGACTCGGGAGCTTTGAGGGATATAAATCTCACACTTTCCCCATCAAATGGGAAAACTCTGACCCAAAGAGGAAATAATTGGCCCTAAGTCAAAGGTGCTGACCCCCAGGTACTCCAATAATGCACATATTACTATGTATGGGTGGCATTGAGGAGGGTGAGGAGGTTGAAGGGGGTTAACTCAGTCCTGAGGACAGACTGGCATAGGACACATTCACCTTTGGGATGCTAAGTGGGCCAGTTGGCACTGGATTGGAAAATGGTTGAATTCTTCCCTCTTCATCCTTCCCTGAGCAGTCCAATGACTGGGGCAGATTGAAGTGTTCTGAGTGGGTAAGAAGTAGATGGCCCTTGCCCAGTTAGCATTCTCTGGCCTTGGAGTCTAGAGAGGGACTGAGGAGGTGTCAGGAAAAGGAGACACACCAAAGACAAATATGGAACTGGGTCCCAAAGTGAAGAAGCACCAATAACATCAGGCTGCCCTGGACTGGGGAGGGGATAGACCCTGGCAAAAATGAGGAAGGAGGGGAGGATGGGAAGACAATGGAGAGGGCACATCCTTTTGTACAGATGAGAAGGGGAAAGTAGGAGAGAAGGACTGTATAAGGAACCAGGGGGAAACAAGCAAAGAGTAAGGGGAAAATGGGCCCATCCATCCATGTCCTGGGGCTCTGGGGCAACTCAGCCTCATGATGTCCTTCTGGCCCTTCCAGAGCCCCTATCTGGCCCCACAGGAATGAAAGGAAGGCCTGGACAGACTTCAAAAAGGATCTCAAATGCCTCAGACCCAAGAGGCAGGGGAAGGGAGGTGAACCTGGTGGTTGGGTGAGGGGACCTGAAATGGAGATGCTCCTAAGCCCTTCATCTTGTATCCCAAGTGTGAGATGAGACCAAGCCCAAGAAGGACAGGAAGGAAGGTAAAATTTTCTAAGGTAAGTATAGTTTAGAGTGCTGGTGAAAAGTGCCCCACCCTGGGGGTCGGAGGACCAAGGGCATAAAAGAAACTATTTCTGTCAGCAAGTTTCCTGGCAAGTTTTTTCCTCAAGTTGCAACTCGGTTGCCATTTATCTGCTCCCATTGAGTTCAGGCTTCATCTAGATGCTCTAAGGGCCCTTTTTTAGGCTACTGTGCCTCCCTGGTTCACACATGGTGGGCTCTGTGAGCAAAGAGAAGCCAGAGAAGAGTGAGAAGCACATTGGACTCTGAGAAGGCTGGAGATCAGTCAGTACACAAGAAGCACTGAGCTCCTGCCATCTGGGGCTCCAGCAAGAGGAGGAATAGGAAGCCATGGGGTGGGCTGCCCAGGTTTCCAATAGCTGATGTCTGCCCATCTGTAGTCCCAAAGCTCAAAGCCCAGAATGATGGGGGAAGGGAGTTGGAGGAGGAAGAGGAGGTCCTGGGAGCTGTTGGTGTTGAAGAGGTGCTGTCCAGTTCAGGAGTAGCCAGGCTGGGACTGTTTACTGCTTCTCCACTGCTCCCTGCTCAGCTGCACTCTCCTGGCTGGGGCCCTGGCCCTGGTCCTGGCCCTGGCCCTGCCCGTGCCACGGGGTCTCCTTGAACACAAACCAACAGTTCCCGGCCCACAGGAAGAAGTTGATAAAGCCGAAGAGCTGCAAAGGACATCAGGGGAGTATGTGAGAATAGTAGGGGAGGGATAGTATGAGAACAGGGAGTGGGGAGTTCCTGTGTTGGTGTAAGAAGCTCAGAGGACTAGAAAGACTAAGCAAGCTGGGTATAGAAGTAGGATTCAACGCCATCTCCCGTTAAGGGATTTCCTGGCAACTCTGTCCACAGCATGCACCCAAGATGTAGCTTGGTCACTAGCCCAATCTTGCTGGTAAAGAGGTTATCATGCAAAGCATAGCAAGGATCCAGTAGTCAGGGGCCAGCAGGGCTTCCCACAGCAATACCAGGGGCCTGCTTGGAATACTTTCTGTTGGGTGAGTTTGACTGGAGCTGTCCAAGGTGCTTCTTCCCTAGGACCAGGGACTCAGCCAGGGCTATATTCAATATTTTGTTTAAAATGTTCTAAAAACCTAACAGCAGGAAGTATTTAGGAGAAGGTGTACTGATGTTTGCAATTGACTTTGAAATGCATTAAAAATGGATTGATGAGAGAAGGTGGATAGGTAAATAATAAAGCAAGTCTAATACAGTGTTAATGGGAGAGCCTAGGGGGTGAGCATCTGGGTGTTCACCATAAAATTCCTTCAAGTTTAATGTATATGTGAAATTTTTTGCAATAAAATGTTTGGGGGGGGAACCTGTGAGTGGAGTTCCAGTATGTTCCAGAAGCTCCCTGATGTGCCAGTCATGAAACATTTCAGTTATGGGCCTTGATGAGGTCAGAGACATTTTCAGAGAGGGTCTGAAATAGCTAAGGTGATGGCTCAGGTACTTTCCAGCTGATGTGAGCATATTTCAATGTTTTAGCAACTAGGATGACCAAATGCATGCCTATTGGCTGAATGCACCCCTGTCCTCAAATCCCTTTTCTGTGTGGGGGTCCAAGCAACAAAGAGCCCTTTCTCACTCTGGGTCTCCTTAAGAGCTCTGAACCAGCCACAGCCCTAAGCTCCCTCTTCATATGTTCAATGTGCACCCATATACAGCATGAAACAGGCAGGAGGGATGGGAGGTAGTCATGAGGACATGCCTGGAGGTGGGGAATGGGAGTGGCTCTTGGTTCCCCCATCCCAACATGCCTTCCCAGGATCAGCATCAGGTGCAGGTGGGCACTAACTGTAAGAGCAGGGGACATCAGCCCTGGGGACCCCTCTCTGTTCCTCTTAGAACCTGCCAGCTGGGACAGGCCTGGGCAGCTGGGATAGTGCTGCTTCCCCTAGGCCCCATCAGTAGCCACAGGTCTCACCACGGAGATGTTGGCCAGTCCCATGGAGGGTGTGGCCCCAGCACTGCACACTGCTTCCTCTCCATGGCACACAGACATGGCTGCAGTCAGGCTGGATGGCCGTGTGGCACCTTTGACATCAGTCAGGCCCTTGCCCCAGGCAGCAGCAGCTACCAGCCAGAAGAAGGTGAAGGAGACGGTCACACAGAAGTCCTGGGAGAAGCAGAGAGTTGGGGAATACACTCAGAAAGTCCCCATGATTCCCTAGTGTTTTTTCCCTCTCGACATGATACTCTAGAATCCTGGGGGCTTGGGATATCTGCCTCTTCCTGTCCTACCTGACACCTATAGCCCCAGGGGGTCCAGATGGTCCTAAGAAATCTGTGAGCTGGGATTGTGGCTGGGGTAGAGCACTTGCCTTGCATGACCAAGGCCCTGGGTTTGATCCTCAGCACCACATAAAAATAAATAAATAAAAATAAAGATATTGTGTCCACCTACAACTAAAAAAAAAAATATTTTAAAAAAAGAGAAAGAAATCTGTTCACTGTCACCAAAGTAGTCATGCCTCTCAGGCTGCCCTACCTACATCCTCAGAACTAAAGTCAGGCAACAAGGTGCTGAAGCTGGTCAGCCTCACCCCCAAACCCAAAGTTATCTAAACTCCCTATTTTTTTAATATTTATTTTTTGGGTTGTAGTTAGACACAGTACCTTTGTTTTTATTTATTTATTTTTATGTGTTGCTGAGGATGGAACCCAGAGCTTTGCATGCGCTAGGCAAGCGCTCCACCGCTGAGCCACAACCCCAACCCTAAACTCCCTATTCTTTATTCCCAACTTTTCCTTTGATCACCCTTACTCATCTAGAAGTAGTGGCAGAGGCAGATTTGGGAAATGGGGTTCTCTAAGGTATGGCTTCTACCTTCATAACTGGAATAAGGAGAAAGTAAAGAGAATAATTAATACTAATAACAGCTAACACTTATAGTGGTTAACTATGTACCAGATACTTTGCATACTTTCTTATTCCCCCACCCCCAGAAAAAAAAAACTAAAAAGCAGGTATTATTTCATCCCCATTTATAGATGAGGAAACTGAGATTTTGAGAGGCTGAGTAATTTATCTAAGGCCACATAGTGACTGAAGCCATGAAGAGACTGTGCTGGGATTTGAACCCAGGCAGTCTAACTCCAAAGTCTGCTTATTTATACTGCTCTTGTGCTTTCTGTCAGTGGAAGGAAGCTATGGGAGGTTGGTAGAGGCAGAGGTTCCACATTTAGGTCTTGGGCCCAGAGAAGCTACTATGTTTGTCCATCCCTCGCTTCCATCCCTCTGGCCCATTCTCACTCACCACCAGTGGGAAGCGCTTGTTCTCCGTATAGAGGTTGTGGAAGCGCAGGTAGAGAACTAGGGCAGCCATGGTATAGAAGAAGGAAAAGATGCCAAGGGTCACAAAGAACTCAGCAGGGGCAGAGAAGTCCCCCATGAGGTGCATGGTCTTGGACGTGGATTCATCATCACAGAGAGGCATCTCATACTGGACCCGGTGCAACCTGCAGATGGTAGGAAAGGCCATCTTGAGCTCAGGTAACCAGCTTTCTCCATGCTCCAGGAAGGGTCCTGGGCTAGTTCTCACCCTGGGACTATTACAGAGTGAAGAAAGGCGTGGAACAGTACTTCTGGAGGGAAACTTGCAGTCAAAGCAGGAGCTTCCCTACAGTTTCATTCAAGTCCTACCTCCCCCTGGATTGCCATCCTACACTCATCCACCTGCCCAGATATGGTGAACATGTGGTTCCAAGAAGTCAGAGCCTTTAAGGTCACAACCACAATATATAATCCATCTATTTCTGGTAGCCAAAGCACTAGGCAAATCAGCTGCTTTCTGCTCCTGGGAAAACACAGGGTCACAGTGACCAAACTCAGGTTTGAATCACCCATTCTCAGGCCTTACTTAGGCTTCCTAATTTGACTATCTTGGACAAAACAAAGAGAAAAACACAACATTTTAAATACAGGAGACAATCTAAGTTGGGTGCCAAAAACTAGACATTTCTAAAAAAGGTGAGCCCTGTCTCCATTCTCCTCTGAACACTCACTCGTCCCTTCTCTAAGCTCTCAAATAATCCAGGAAAGAATACTCTTCTCTACCTCCTTGTTTTCTGGGTGTACCAGGTAAGTATCCAACAACAGCTCTTCGGGATCTAAGAACTAACAAGCTTCCTTACTTCGAAGCAGAAAGGGGGCTTCTGAGGCTCAGAGAGAGCTGTTCAACTTTCTCAGACTCCTTCCAATGCCTGGGGGTTTTCTGCATGCACTTTATGACCCCCTATTGGTTGGCCACGGACTGGAACATAATAACGATGATCTATTTGTGTTTCCCTTATGTTTTCCTCTGGTCAGTTTGTCTGAGATCACTGAAGGGTGGAACGGACCTAAATCTTATAATTCTGTTGGAATCTGGATTGGCACACAACAAGTGGTCTTTAGATTTCTGGAGGAGGAAGAGACAAAGCAGGTCCTGCTGATCTCGTGAGAGAGTCTGTGCTGGGTCATAACCCATTTCTGCTCACCTGAAGGGATAGCCGAACAAAACAATGATGGAGCTCACGTCCTTGGCGTCGTTGTTGCAGCGAACTGTTGCTCCTGTCTCCCCGCTGTAGGAGCCGCAGGACCCGAAGGCGAAAATAGCAAAGAGCTGAGAGAGAGTGAAGCCCCTTTAAGAATCAGAAGGCCTCATGTGGCCAAGGTAAAGAACCACCCCCTGTCTCCAGCAGATACTGAGGGGCCAGGGAGTGAGATTCCCTTTAACATTGTTCCTCCTGGGCAGGGATTCGTGGCTACCAAGGTTTTTCAGTTCAGGGTGCAATATTCATCATACAGGGTAGTGGACCAGATAGCAAATGAATTAAATTAGACTTTGAGTGGTGTCTCAGAGGGAGATGAAGAGAGGAAATGGATCCTCTCCAGGTCTCCTCATTGGGCATGACACTGGGGACCAGGGGCAGCCTCCTCAAGATGAGAAGTAACACCAGAACCTCTGTAATTCCAACTATTGGAAACTTCCTCTCAAAAGTTTTCTCTTAATTTTTCTCCCAAGGGAGAGGCACCCTGTGATATGGACTCCTCTGCACCAATGCAGATCAGGCATGCCTGAAGTGCTTTTCATTTTTTCCTTTAGCCAGTCAAAGAATCTTCCCCTTACCTTGTTGCTAACTTCCAGCAGTTTCCTGCCCCAGAGGAGGTACCGGGTAGCTGGAGGGAACAACTTCTACCAAGCTTTTCCATGGAACTACCATCCTAACTCCTCTTCCCCGAAAGCACCTTTCCTTCCAGCGACAGTGCTGGCTGGGCCAGTGCTTACTGTCCTGGCTAGAGACCAAAGAAAAGTACCCTCCACTTGCCTTATCAGCCTCTGCTATTTTCCCACTGGAGTTTCTCTTTGTAACCTGTTGATGCTGCCATTTCTCAGTGTTAAAAAGCAGAGGCGTTCCAGACCACTTGAACTATTTTCTTCTCTACCTTTCATCACATTTGACTACCTCTTGTATTGAGCAAAATGAAATTGTCTCATTCTGTGATTCTCACATTTCTTTCCAGGAAATACCCTTTGATTAGAAAAGGAGGTGGAGTCTCTTATTCTCCCACATCAGTTGCTCAGCCCCAGTTTCCTGTGCCCCTATCTTTGATTTGTTCACAGTGTCATCTTTCTTATTAAGCAGTGAATTTATTCTGTGAATTGTTCATTTTCTGTACGTTTCTCTATGACTCAATGTCTTGGTCATTAAAGGACCAACTAGAAAACAACTAATCTACACTCCAGTCCTGCATCCAGAGTAGAATTGCACAATATTTTGCTAATGCCTATTGACGTTGTGAAATAAAAAGAGACCTGAACTAGGAGTCTGAAAATCTGGGTTCTAGTTGTAGCTCTGTTGCTAATTGGCCAGGTGACTCCACTGTCTGAGTCACAGTTTCTTCATCTGTAAAATGAGGCATTTGGAGGTAATCTAGAGGCTTTTCCCAGCTCTGAAATTCTCTCACTCTCAGAGGGTAATGCTATCAGTGTGCTCTTGGCTGGATTTGCCAACAGCTGTGCTCTGCCCCTGGGTGGTGTCCGGTGCCACTACCCCGCCTTGCACGGCCTGGCCCAGCAGAACTCCATGCTGGAGCCACTGACTTCTCTCTTAAGGTCATAACGTTCACCTCTGTTTTCAGGAGACTTGCTCTAGACAAATGAGAATTGTCTCCATTGGTAAAGATCACCAGGAAAGAAGATAAGTGTAATATCTCTGCAGTGCCTATCTAACCCCCCACCCCTGAATTAAACTATGCAGGCTGCAGTAGAGCCCTGCTTGCTCACCTCCCTGACAGAACTGGAGAGAAGTCACCGGAAGGAACCCTCTTCATCCTTACCCTTCACAGACTCCAAGTTGCCTCCCAGGCATAACAATAAAACTCCCTAGCTCTTCCTCAGAGGAATTCTCTCATCTTTGTGGGCTCTGTGGCTTTCTGATTCCCCGAGGAAGTTTCTTTATTTCTCTTAGCTTCTGGTGCCCAGAAATGGACACAATTAGGGTGTCATATTCTAGGAAGGGCAGCACAGTTGCGTATAATTTTACCCATTGGCAGTTAGTCAGTGAATGGCTCCTCATAGAAAGTGTGCAGGTATTCCTAACTTGAGAGAGTGAGTGGTCAGTTATGGAGCCTTCTCTTCACGAGCCCTCTCTTGACAGGCACTGCTGAGCATCGACAGGAAGATGGCATTTCTCAAGCATCTATTTTGTACCAGGTAGGCTCTGTTCTAGATACTATTACAGTGAACAGAAGAGAGAAAAAAAATGAATTTGTTCTCATTGGAGCTCATGCTCTAGAAACTACCCACAAAGGTAGCCACTAGCTAAGGCTATTTAAATTAATTAACATAAAACTAAATTTTACATTCAGTTGTTTTGATCATGCCAGCCATATTTCAAGGGCTCAGTAGGCACATTCGGCTAGCAGGTACTGCAGTCATCAGCACAGATTATAGAACTTTTCCATCATCATTGAAAATTCTCCTATGTCAAAATCTTAACCTCAAGGTTCTGAAACTTCTAAGCCCTGCTCTCTGATTCTTCAAAGGGCAAAATATACCCGTAAGAACTTTACTGTTAATGCTTGGCTTTTCTGATTCTTTGAAACTTAGGAATCTAAACATCTTCCATGATGGCTTTTTTTACTTACCAGAATATTTGTTTGTTAGTACTAGGGACCTAACTCAGGGCCTGTGCATGCTAGCTATAGAGCTATATACCTAGCCCCAAGAACACGTCTAAATATGAACACACAGTCAGATGGTGGCAGATACAGTGTGCTATATGAACGGATGATGGGAAAATCTGAGAAGAATGATCATAGATCATAGAGCAGCAGAACAAAAAGGGTCTCAGAGATTATTAAGCTCAACAGTATCATTTCACAAAGATGGAAACTGAAGCCCCCCAAAATAAGATGATTTTCTCTAAGTCACATTAGCTGATGTAAGAGCCAGGTTATGAATTTACATCTCCTGATTCCCTTTCCAGTGCTTTTCCTATGTCATTCATTTATTCATCCAACACTTATTGAGCATTCATTTATTCATCCAACACTTATTGAGCATCTATCTACCTTGTGCCAGGTGCTCGAGATACAAAAATGAGTAAGACCTGGCTTTTATTATCAATAATTCATGTTAAGAAGGGAATGTCATGTTAAAACAAGCAAAACCCAGCACCATAGTTATTAAAGCTAAGGTAGAAGCGAGGTGCAGTGGTACCTGCGTGTAATCCCAGTGACTGTAATCCAAGGGAGACTAAGAACTTAGTGAGACCCTATCTCAAAACAAAAAATTAAAAAGGGCTGAGGATGCCGTTCAGTGGTAAAGTACCCCTAGGTTAAATCCGTAGTACCAAGGAAAGAAGGAAGGAGGGAGGGAGGGAGGGAAGGAAGGAGAGAGGGAATGGAAGGAAGGAAGGAAAAAAGGAAGGAAGGAAGGAAAAAAGAAAAGAAAAGGAAAGGAGGCTAAAGGAGAGATCTTTACTGTGTGTGGTGGGGATTACAAGGAGAGAGGAGACCTGTACCCAGGCTGCAGAAGCATGGAAAAACACCCTCACCCAGCCCATGGCTCCTAATAATCCATCTTTCTGCCTCAGATTTGCTTCCTTCCTTAACTGTTCAGGGGACTAAGCCCAAGGAAGAAGAGGGTGACAACTGAAACAACCCTGTCACCATGCACAAGGCTCTGAGAGCAACCTGATCATAAAGAACAGCAGCCAAAGATGGAGGCTCTGAGACAGGGGGATTTCTGGAATTCTGGTGCCAACCAATTTTCCTTCTCTTGGACTTGCATTGCTCCTCCTGCCTCTGTGTCGCTTTTATAAAGACGTTGGAATAACTTTTCCCAGGTGTGGAGTTTTTTTTTGTTTTGTTTTGTTTTGTTTTTGTACTGTGGATTGGATCCAGAAGTGCTCTAACATCAAGCTATTCCCAGCCCTTTTTTATTTTTTATTTTCATACAGGGTCTCCCTGAGTTGCCCAACTGACCTTGAACTTGTGATCCTCCTGCCTCAGGCTCCCGAGTCACTGGGATTGCAGGTGTGCACCACTGCATCCAGCCAACCTTCCCAGTTAAAGGATGAGTTTGTACTTTGGACTTCCTTGCTGGTCAGAGAAAACCAACAGTCCAGAGAACACCAACATCATCTGTGCAGAGCATAGAAGGCAAGTTCTTTCCCCCAAATCCTCCTCCCTAATCGTCCGATTGGTTTGATGAACTCTGATGATGTCCTTTCAAATCCTCCACAGTGACTGAAATAACTCCATTACAGACACCTCAGAGTCAAATAAATTACTTTGGCATCCCAAAGGTGAAATTTTCATTAGGAGGACACTCTCAGTTAAAAGTAATATAACTTATTTATAAGCAAATGAGGATAGTGACTGAGTCATCTAGAGATCTTTTATACCTTGCCATCAAACTGAGGATTTGGCAGTGACATTTGAATAATCTCACTAAAGGACAAGACTAGTTGGACAGTCTGCACAGGGGAGAAAATAGGGAAAGGGGGAGGTTCGGGAGTAAAATATCCCCTGGAGTGCCCGGCTCACTAGGTTCACTAAGCATCACAGAAATTGTCTTTTGTAATCCTCCCAGTGAGCCTATAAGACAGGTCTCATTTACATTCAAGGAAAATGAGACCCATAAAAATTTCATCTCTTATCCAAATTTCTAGGACTACAAGCACAGGATACCAAATTTAAGCCAAAGCCCAACTGAGCTTAAAGTCTGCCTTAAAAACAAATATAAACAAAAAAACTACTTCTCCAATAACTGGTCTATGCTCCGGTAGATTTAGTGAGATTCTTAGAATTAGAATTGAGGTGAGAATAATTTCTGAATTTTAAAGACATTCGAACATAAGCTCCTGACTCATAAAAGAATTACATCACTTTTTCCTCTCAAGAATTCCAGTAAAACCTTTGCTTTTTGATAATAATGACTATAAAAGTTTTCAATTACCATTACCATAATGGCAAGATTTGTGTTTTATTTTTTCTTCCTCTAGTTGGGAGTACTTTATCCCACCAAGCAAAAAAAAAAAAAAAAAAAAGAAAGAAAGAAAATAAAAGAAAAAGGGTGAAAAAAAACCAAATGACATTTTCACTGTTGTTTCTGTGCTGGTTCCTGTGAACTTTCATGTGAGCTTATCTGCAAAAATGCAAAGCAAGTGAAACTTGTGCCCTGAATTTATGCTACCCAGGATAGCATTAAAACCAAATCATGTCTCCTTATGATTCTACACTGTGAATGAAGACTAGTTTAGATTTTGCTCCCCACCCAGGACCCTTGGGTTTAGCAATGTGAGAGAAAGGAATCTCTGTTTTGTAGTTGAAGGTTTTTTGTTTTTTTTTTTTAAGTTGAAGATCATAAACATCAAACAGGTATTACTTGGTAGGGCATCAGCACTGACCCTAGGGGAACACTGGATTATTTCCCTAGGAATTGCTCTGTCCAGCCTTTATAGAAATGTGGGGGGGGGGGGCTGAGGCTGTAACTCAGTGGCAGGGCAATTGCCTAGCATGTGTGAGGCACTGGGTTTGATCCTTAGCACCACATAAAAATAAACAAATAAAACAAGGCATTCTGTCCATCTATAACTACAAAAAAAAATTTAAAAAACAGAAGAAATGTGGTAGGTATGGCAGGCTGTAGGGACAGGAGTGAAGAAGGTTGCTTTTCAGAATCCCCCCAGGGAAAGCAAGTCCATAATCCAATAACTTCATTATTCCTTCATCCCTTGATAGTCTGTCTTCAAATTTCCATTAGATCCATTTTGTCAAGTTTAATGATAAAACTGTACTCTTACGTTTCAGTCAGGTTCTGCTCCTATGGCTGGCTCTTAATAGCTCTCTGACTTCTGGATGCCAGTCACTCGGAGCATAAATATTCTTATACGGGGGCCCCTCTGGTATTCAAGTGGTAGGTCAGAACAGGGAAGTGGCAGCAGGTGGAAGAGCTCAATCAGCAGTTGGACCCACTGTACTTGAGGCAGTAAGGAAAGTGGGAAGTTCCGACGAAGTCCCAGAGTCTATACTTGGGAACTCCCCAGGCTGGCCTATAGCCCTAATTAGGAGTCTCAGATATCCAGAGATAATCCCAAATACACCATTGCCTCTGAATTTCAGATTTGACGATTCTCATCTATGATTTAGTAGTTAGTGACACAGTGCTAATTCCTGTCTCCAGAGAGTTTACAGCCCTTTAGAACACAATCCTCCGGTGTATTAATGGTAATTTATTCCCTAGCTGAATGCTGTGCTGAAAGTGTATTAATTAAGTTATTCATACACCACTTGGTATATGGATTATTTAACTTAAAACCTCTTCTGCAGTAGTACACTAAATGCCTTTTCCCCAACAAGTCTTTATGATTTGAAAAAGTGTCTGCACCTCTCCACATTCCTAATTTAAATCCAGGAGGCCTGGGGCACTGGGAAGAACAAAGAGCATAAGTACCAGTGAAGGAATGAGGTGGTATTTCCACCAGATCAAACCATGGGAAATTGAGGACCTGGACAAATGAGTTTTTCAAGGTCATAGGGTAAATCTAATCTAGGGTTACATTTTAGCACCCCAAACAATTTAAGGATGGTCAGATCCACATTTGACCAATGTTGAGAATTGAAGTCCAGAGAAGTGACTTGCCCAAGGTCGTGCAGCTAGAAACACAGATCCAGGCCTGGAATCCAGATTTCCAGCTTCCCAGATCTGTGTTCTTATTGTAATACTACATTTTGGTTATATTGTCATTTTTTAAATATGTATTTTCTTAGTTGTAGATGGACACAATATCTTTATTTTATTTGTTTATTTTTATGTGGTGCCAGGGATCAAACCCAGTGCCTCACACATGCGAGGCAAGCACTGTACCACTGACCCACAACCCTGGCCCCTATATTGTCATTTTTATTCTGTCATAATTTTGTTCTTTTGTTTATTCTCAGGGCTGGTGAGTTCCATTCATTCATTCATTCATTCATTCATTCATTCACTTCCTCACTCTATTACAAAACCCCAGATTCCTCTAGTGACCTCAACAGGGAATCCCGAGCTGGGAGCCTGTCCTTGAGTCCACTCCAAGGATCTTCCAGGTCCTGGTGGGTTTGGGGTAGGTTTCCATAGCGCCTCTCCTTCCCTCCTTTGCCCTCTGAAGCTTCTCTGGTGGTGAAGAGCGGATCTCAACCCCCTTGTCCTCCTCCTCCTCCCGCCCGCCACCGAGGAGTGGTATGTGCAGGATCAGAGTTCTGGAAAGGTTACACCCGGGTCCTGTCGCCCGAGTGAAATGTGAGCGCCTTGGGCAAAGGTTCCTTGCACATAGAAGGACCGAATCCGGGACTCCGCATGCCTGGCTCCTCACCCTCCTACCACTGAGTGCTGGACAAGCATCCCCAGCCCGCCCCTCCCCCGCCCACCTGTCACCGCCCCCCACCCTTCCGCAGTGGCCTGGCTGCCTCACCTCCCCAGCCCCCACCAGAGCCACATTGCTTCGGGTCGTCGTCACAGTCCAGGCTCCCGAAATAGCCCTGGGCTGGGGCAGAGACTCACCCACTGGAGAACTTTGATGAAGCCCAGTGGCTCCTCCAGCCGTCGCCAGCGCAGCCCCACCAGCAGGCGGTCCACCTGCGGAGACAGAGCCAGCTAGCTGTCAAGGCGGTGGGGAGACTAGAGAAGACACTAGTCCCTCTCCTCCTCCTCCTACTACACAGGGGCAGAGGGTGGAATCAGAGTCAGGGCCGACAGTTAGGTGGAGGGGATCGGTGGCAGAGCCCAGGGGCGCTCGGGAAGTACCTGCTGGCGCGGCGACTTGTCCGCTGTGCGGCTGGGGCTCTCCGCCGACGACATGCTGGCGCAGCGGGACTGGAGCGCAGCGCGGGGGCTCGGCTCCCTCGCAGGGAGGCTGCGGGGACAGCGGTGGAGTTGGGGGCTGCTCACTCGCGGCCGTCGGCGGGCCGGGATCCAGGCTGGCGGGGTGGGTAGCGGGGGCGCTGCTGCTCGAGCTGGTGGAGGCTGTGGCCGCTGCTCTGCCCCGCCGATGCAGAAAGCCCCCGAGTCCGATTCAAACTTCTGTCAAACTCGCAGGCGAACTTGGCAGGGGAGTCACGTGGCGTGCGCTCCCCAATCCTGCTCCCGCCCCCTTTGATCCCCTTTCTCCGTCGCCAAACTCCTTAAAGGGACCTGTGGCCTCTGTGGACAGTTCGGCCTCGAAAGGGCTCAGGTTCTTTGCCAGAAGCCTTTAGGGCCGGACCCGGTAGAAACACCACCGTCACGAGCAACACCACGGCGAAAATCTGGAGCGCGCTGGGACGCGCCGGCTCCTAGTTTATCTTTCTGGGTTTTTTTCCTGGATTCGGAATTGCTCTGCCCTGGCTTTTCCTCCTCTTCCAAACCTTAATATCTAGAACTTGAAGGATTTTTCACTAGGTATTTTTAGTGCTTATTTTTAACATACCTCTTGCTTCCAAAATTTTTACGAAGTCAGTACAGACGGAAAAAAAAGCACTAGAATTTAAACTGCCCACTTTATATTCTAAGTTAGCATTGTTTTATTATTTTTACCAACAAAAAGCATTTGTGTTTTAGCGATTTTAAAATTATTAATCTTTAAAAAATATGAGCCAAATGTTCTTTAAAATAGCGGATGCTCTCCAAACGAGAGTGAAAAGAAAGTCTTTGAAATCGGAGCAAAGATTGAAGTTTTGTGGAAAAGTTAACAGAGTTGATTTTGATTGATTTAAAAATAGGTCTTGTTTTCTGAAAGTGTTCAACAGGAGCCACGCGTGAGCAGTTGTGAAAATTACACATTCGATTAACCGGAGTGTAAGTGCAAGTAGTAAAAGGTTGAGTGGTTTGTCTAAGGACGCTGAGCGGGTCCAATGGGCGGTGGCCAGAGAATAGAACCTGCCTGCTCTTCTTAGCTGACTTGTAAATATGTATCCATTCTTGGAAGACCCCCCCACGCCCACCTCTATCACTTCACAATGAATGCTTTTTGGACAAAAGCTTGGCTATCATTTGTGCAATTCATTCCCCCATTGAATTAAGTGCCTTCCCAAAGTTGGGAATGAGTGGGAGAAGCAGGCAGCTCAGGCTGGGATGGGACCACTTGGGGTTGAAGGAAACTTCTCCTGTGGATTTCCATGAAAATCTAGGATAAAAATCAAACAGCTTAGCTCCCAGTTCAGTTCTTAATAAATTCTTCTGTTGTCTTATATTCCTGTTCTATGGACTAGAAATAATAATTTCTGTCCCATTTACTTCATAAGACCATCTTGAAGATTAAGTGATGTTATGTAAATACCTACACT